AAGTCAGCATCAATTAAGCAAGCACTTAAAACTAAGTGTTCAGCCAAATGCTTGACTGAGCCAGAGCTATATAAGCAAGGGCCACACTGTTGAAATTCCGGGAAGTTTATTGAGTCCTGATTCGCATTAGCAGAACAGTTTGATTGTGTATGACTTAGCTGAGGAGGAATTTTGCTCTGAACTGTAACAGGAGAAGGCATAACTGAATGCTGAACCAAGGCTCCAGAGTAGGGACTTGAGAACAGCAGGGCACGGTGGACCCGTGCTCAGCTGATGGTGGCACCTGTCCTCGTGCCACCATCGCACTCCAGCCACAGCGCACTGAGCAGCTGGCTTGCATCCTGCTCCTTGTGATGCTGTGGTCAACCCATCCATACCATTACACTCACCGTAAGTATTTCTTTCCTAGGTTCCCTTTAGTGCTTTGTTTCTGAGGCGGTAAGGATCTTAGACTGCCTTGTAAAGCAGGAAAGCGCCATTCCAATACGGCTTCCTGTTATGAGGATTTAGTATAATCTCTCCAAATGTACTACTAATTAAGATAAGTTTAAACAACATTAAGCAGGTTATCAGAAGGCAAGTTGTTAACTGCTTCTAAACAATAGATTTCCCAGCCCTTTCTGCCACTCGCAGCTTCTTGGTGCTGCAGCAGATTTTAAAACACTTGTCAGTGCGGTAACCCAGCGAAATTGTCCATCATGTCTGTGTGTGTATACATGGCTATAGCTATATGCCTTTGTCTATCAGACAACCATTTTGTGAAGTGATAAACTTAACGAAGGCCCTGCTCATCTTCTTTCGAAAGATGACGCTGGGACACAAACTGTGGCTCTGCAGGCACAGAGGTGCTGTACCAGCCCACAGCACACAAGCAGTGAATGAACTGCGCTGTACTTGTGGCCAACAGATGATGATGTAATGGCAGTCATCAAATATGTAACACCTTACTGTAACCTTAAACAAGAGCAAATTGGTATCCTCCTTTCAGTAAGTGAACTCATTCATTTTATGAAGATCTGCTCTGTAAACGAATGAAGCCATGTTTCAGACTGGCCAGTCAGATACTGTGCCATATGGCAGACCCAATTTTGCAAACTTAACTTCAGCTTGGCAGAAGGTGAGGCCACTGCAAAAGGAGACCCGGTCATGCAAGGTGACAAATGTCTCCCAAGGGCCACGGTGGAGTTGAAGGGACTGAACATCTCTCAGGGTCATCAGACCCCAACTGCAAAGCATGAGGTATGTCCAAGTGGATAGGAGATGAGATTAAGGGCTTAGTGGCGCTAAGCAGTGCCTGGCTGTTTGGGGCACTAACAGCTGCTCCATCATGCACTTGTACACATAAAATTGAAAGACAGAAGTAGGGATGGGAAGCCCACCTTGACCAGTGGTTGCAATGGCCACTACCACCAGTCTGGGGTGTTTTACAGGCTTATAACTTTAGTCTGTTTTGAACAGAGATTAGAGCTGGAGCAGGCACCTGGAGAAAGTGGAGCTAACAGGGCAGCATGAAAATCTGGAAAAATAAAACCACAAAATTACCATGGCCAATGGTCAGCCTGTATCCATGTCCTGTTTCCCAGCCAGGTAAGAATCCCCTTGAGATGGCACAGATGACAGTGAGTGAAACCAGACACACTTGGTACCGAAAGGGAAACCAGATCTAACGCTGAAGCGTGCGGCTGCTCCCGTGGGCAAGAGCCAGGGGAGTGTCTCGCTGGAAAGGAGCTTCCTCACGTTACAGGTGACGCTGAGAGTTACGTCCTAGCATGATGCCCTGGTTTAAGTCGTAATTGTTGCAGGAAAGTATTTCACTTCTACACGCAGGTTTGCAATAATCAGTTAAAGAAGAGGGTGAAGAGCATGAGCAGGCAAGGCCGGGAGCTCCATGGCCCCCAGGCACTCACCCCCCTGCGAGGCTCTTCTCGGAGGGGAAACCATGCCCATGTTTAATGCAGTTTAGCATTTCCAGCCGCCCATGTTCTGAAATGTTCAACAGAATGGTGTTTTGCCCCCGAAAAAGTGGGAGAGCTGAAATGCTTACATCATTGCTTTACAAAAAAAGCCAAAGCAAAACAATTGTTTCAAAATGAGCCTGCTTCAATGCAGGATGGGGCACGATAGCAGCTGGCTTCCCAGGTTTTCTCCCCTGCCAGTGACAAAGAATAGCGACTAGAAATCAAAACGAAAGCATAATTATTTCTCTCTCCAAGCCTGAGGGCGGTTTGGCACCGCGGAGGACATGGAAGCCATCAGGTCCAGAGG